CGACGTATCTTCGTTCCCTTCGAACGATAATCCGACGTACGAAGCTAGATCTCGATCGGTTATATATCGGGTATATATATATCTTTCTCTTTTTCTTTTATACGGAAGGAATCGTTTATCCCTTTAAACGGTTATCCTTTGTCCGTTCTTGGAACGAAACGTCGAGATACGAAGGAAGGAATGACGAAACTTTAGCCAAGTAGAATTCTTTCTTGGACGAGAAGAAATCGTCGCGTCATCGTTCGTTGTCGGCTCGTTCGTTCGAAAGACGAGCGATCTTCTCGAGTAACGTTAACGTTGTTTTCGATGCTACCGCGTACAGCATCTTTTCTATATCGCTCTCATCGTCGCAGTCGTCGTCGTGATATTTCCAAGAGGCCTCGAACGCGTCGAGTGGATACACGAAGAAACACTTGCCGGGTGGCCGAGGAAAACACTCGACCACCTCGCGGCGAGCAACGAAAACACTAATTTCCCTCTCTCCGCATCGTCTCGCGATTGGATATTAGATTCTGCCTGCCTACTTCCACTCGCGTTACTCCTTTTGTCCTACCCATCGGTCGTGAGCAATCTCCGAAACAAAAGTTACGCGGCATCGTATCGAAAGCGGCCAATAATTCCGATCTTATATCACCCATCCACCTAAGTATTAGGCGGCGACCGATGTAATCGCGTGTCTAACGGCGAAATGGAAGAGAGGTAACCCGCGTTATTACACGTTATCGAGAACTAATTTGAATCAATTTACTTTAGCTAACCTCTCTTTTTTCGCGTCGCGTGGACGTGACGATGTCGCCGCCGCAATCGGTAATACAGATATCGAGAACCTCGCAAGCGCGCGTCTACGATCGATTTAAGAAAGAGAAAGAAGGGGGAAAAAAGGCGAAATAAAGGGAATTTTTCAACGCGATATTATCGCGTGATACGCGATAAAAGTGGAAAAGTTGGAAGGGAGCTCGATTTCGCACGGACGTCGGTCTCCACCGATCTCCGCGGTCCGTTAACTCCTGTACCGCGCTAATAGAGAAAGAGAAAAAGAGAAAGAGAGAGAGAGAGAAATCGCGAGAGCGATTTCGTTAAATCTTTCGCGCCTCCCTTCTCCCCGCCACCAATCGTAAATCGTAAATCTGTCTAATCGAACGATTTATCGGCATTATCGAATCGGCCTCTCTCGATTCGTCCACTTATCGGTATCGCTCGCTCTCCCTCCCCTCCCTACCTCCCCCGCTATTGTACGTACGTACGAGCGTAAAAATCGTACGAGTCGAGCGCGAGCCATTATATACGCATCGATGCCATCCCTCCGCCGTACCCCCTCCCCCCTCCCCCTTCTTTCTTTCGCGGTCGATAAATTTCGAAAAAGGCGACGCTAGGATGAGGAGGAGAAGGAAGGAACGCCACGTTCCACGAAATTAATCGAAGAGAGAGAGAGAAAGAGAGAGATAAGAAGCGGGGGGATTGCGTTCGATTCCGCGATTCTCCACGGGGATCGGGGGGGGGACCAACTTCTCCACCCTCCCCTCCCCCTCTCCCTGCGTAGCTCGGTCCCTCGTAAATCAAGGATTAAATCGGATGCGTGTAATTCGCAGCAGTTTTAACCGTAAACAGTTTAATCTCGGTCTCGAATCGAAATCGGTCACGTCAAAACAATGGATTCTTTACGGCGCGGCCCGGCGCACCGTACGCGCGTGGACCCTCCCTTCCCCCTTCCTCGGGCAGAAAGAGAGAGAGTGAGAAAGAGCGAGAGCGAGAAACGTAACGAGCGGAACCGTTTAACGCGCTCCCTCCCCGTATACACACATCTCGGAACGAACCGATTCTCTTCTTTTCGTCGAAAACCTTCTCGTCCATTTCTCGTTCGTTTCGACGAGGATAGATAGATAGATAGATACAAGTACATATTTATATATATATATATATATATATATATATATATATATATTATATAGCGGGCGATATCGATTCACCTTGCTTTCGATTCCTCGAGCGGAAAGAAGCGGAGGAGGAGGAGGAGAATCTCGAGCGCATCTCGGTTTCCAAAGTTTATTCGGCTATATAAAGCACGTGACACGCGGCACCACCACGCGGGATGGAGGATATTCGGCGACATATGCGTACGTGCGCGAAAGCAATATCGTGTGTATATATATATATATATATATATACAGGAAGGGGAGAGAGGAACAGAGGCGGAAGGCAGCGCGTGGAAAAGGGAGGCGGAGGAGGGAGAGGAGGAGGAAGGTTGGAAACGGGATAGTCCGGCCACAGCTTGCGGGGATGCGAGCTTCCGAGCGCACCCCACGAATGTTAACGCGCCGCATTAACTCGGGGGTATCGGTGGTTAGAAACGCGAGCCCCGGCAATAATTCCGATAACACAGCATGTTGTCGCGTTTACCCGGCATACCAAAACCTGGCTAGTACTTTCTTTCCTTCCCTCCTTCTTTCTACGCTCTCGGAATCGGAACGAAAAATCGGAAAATCGGAAAATTTTTGCGCTTCCAAGGAATAGCGAAAAATCGCACGGACGGATGGATGGGCGCGTAGGTTGGCCGAGGAGCGCGTAGGAGGCGCGAAAATCCCGAGCGTGGGCGAGCCGTGCGGTAACCACGCATGGACGGTTTTGGGAGGAAGGGGGAAGGGGGGGGGAGTAGGTAGCCGCTCGTACGGAAATCTATCCCCGCGTCGGCTCCCTTCTTCCATACCCGGGACCTTTGCTCACCGCCCTGTAATCATCGCGAGCGTCAGTGGCGGCGGCCGCTAATTATGTTTCATAACGCTTCTTACCGCCCCACTCCCATACCCGCTCCCTCAGGGGCGGTCGCTCGTCATTTATTATTTACATCGTGTTCGTCCCGAGGGTATCTCTCTCGCTTCGTCTCGTTCGCCGACTCTTCCTTATCGGCCCCGATATTTCCGAATCGACTTTTCGGGGGACAGAGATGACGAGAGAGGATTGTCGGATTTTTCTTCCGAGAGTGAGATCGGCATCGTCATCGACTTCATCTTCTTCATCTTCTTCTTCTTCTTCTTCTCGAGGGAGGAAGAGTTGGCGCGTCGCGGAAAGAAATAAATGCCGCGTAACCGCGCGGCGATTCGTCAACGGATCAACGTCACGAGGCGGTAAGCAGATTACGAGGACGAGCCACTCGAAGGAAAAAAGAAACGACCGATCCGTCCGTCGAAAACAAATTCGAAACGGTTCTCCTATCTTCCAGACTGCGCTGCTGTTATTAGACCACGCTACTACTACTAAATGTATATATATATATATATCTGACTTCGAGGAGGAATAAAACGGTCTTCTTCCGCGCTTTGACGCGGTTTCGAAATCCTTTGAAGCGGTTTCCACTTCCGGATCGTGAACGCGTGGAAAAATTTGATCGCGAGAATTAAAGTTTGGATACGAGCGGAAGCCGTAACCACCGATCATCCGGCTTCTTCCATTCCTTTGATGCGGCGAAACGATCTCTCGAAACGGCGCGGAAAAGATAAGACGCGAGGATCGGAGAAAGAGAGAGAGAGAGAGAGAGAACGATTATATTTATCTTTCGCGGGATATAATAAAACGCGGGGGATATTGAATCGCGTGAAATTTCTAACTCGCGTAATCGGTATCGCGGCCCGTTTTTTCTACGCGTTAAACCGTGTAATTACAATAATCCGGCGATGAATATCGCGCGCGATACACGTATCGCTACCTACGTATTTAGCGAGCCGGCCAATTTCCTCCTTTATTATAATAATATCCGGACCGATCCTTCTCTCCATCGCTCCTCTTCCTCTCTCTCCTTTCGCCGGAGAAAACGCGAGGGGGAGTCGCGGCAATTTTCCAAGGATCGGAAAGGCCGTGGGGACGGCAATAAAACGATAAATCGCGCGCGCGCGGCAACCTATGGGCGAGCTCGAGAGGGACTAGGAGAGGAAAACGGTGGTCCCTGTCAGCGATTGCCCCCTCTCGCGAGAAAAAATGGCAGCTGCCGCGGCTATAGATATAGAGGGCCGCTCTTCTCGCGCCACCCTTCTCGGCGGCGAGGAGAGAGAGAGGGTCGAGCGTGCCGAAACAGGACAACTTCCGCGGCGGAGGCGAGAGGAGAGAGGTTTGAACGAACGAAACGACGGCTTGGCTGCTGGACGAACGGGAGAGGAAGGAAGAGAATCGCGAAAGGAGGAGGAGGAGGAGGAGGTGGGGGCGTCGCGTAGCACGGACGACCATCTCTGTCGCTGTCGCCGCCGCCACCGCCACCGCCACCGCCATCGTCGTGTATATACCTCCTACCACCGGCATCGAGAGACGATCGCGGTGGCAGTGATGCCGATTACCACCGCGATCGGTAACAACGTTTCAGCGGAAGGAGGAGGAGAGGGAGAAACGTGTATTACAGGGGATGAGAAAGAGAAAGAGAAGAGAGGAGAAGGCGTACGTGCGCGTGGAAAGACAGCTGGGCTGCTGCTGGCTGCTGCTGCTGCTGCTGCTGCTCGCAGCTACGACGGGGTGGAAGGACGGAAGCGGTAATAAGGTGGTCGTCGAGCTCTCGGTCAATTCCCGAGGAAAAGGGAGAGAGCGAAAAGGGGGACGAGGGAGAGGGAGAGAGAGAGAGAAAGGGCGGAGCCAAGCGGAGATCGTTCGGGCGGAGCTTGGCACGAAAGGTACCGCCTACCTCGCAGGAATCGCCTTTTCTCCCCGTTGGATCAACGCCGGCCCCCCATCGTCCTCCACCTCCTCTTCCTCCTCCTCTTCCTCCTCCTCCTCTTCCTTCTCGTCGTCGTCGCGGTCGTGGTCGTCATCGTTGTCGCGGTCGTCCTCGTCGTCGTCGTGGTCGTCGTCGCGGTCATCCTCCTCGTCCTCGTCCTCGTCGTCCTCGTCGTGAGATCGGGATCGTCGTCGTCGTCGTCGTCGTCGTAGTAGTAGTGATCGGTTCTCGTCGTGATCGCCGTCGTCGTCGTCGTCGTCGTCGTCTCACCCCGAGAACGAGCGTCGAGCGGTGGCGCGCGTTCTCTCCTCTCTCTCTCCCGTTGCGTCGCGGACGATCGAGCTCCCGCGAAGCGGCGCGCCGGGGGTGGGGGCCGAAACGAGAAGCCGGCCGCCGGTGGCGCGGGTCAGTCTGTCGGGCAACCGGTCGGTCGGTCGCTCGCTCTCTCGTTTCTCGCTCTGTCCGCGCTCTCCGCTCGACTCGACTCTACCGCGTATCCGTACTACTCGCGCTTCGCATCGCGCACGCATCGCAACCACGTTCCTTCGTTCCTTCCTTCGTTTCGCGACGACGAGTGCGTGCAGATCGAAAGAGGGAGAGAGAGGGAGGAAGAGGGAGAGAGCGTCTCGGATCGGGTCCAATTTTCGCTCGCCTCCGCGCACATCCAGGTGGATATTCAGGGGGATGCGCGCGCCTAACCTTTAACCCCGGACGTGGACGGGCCGGACGTGGCAGGACGTGGCGCGCGGCGAGTCGGTGACCTTGGCTAGGAAAAGGGATAATGCGGAGAAAGGATCGTCGTTTACCTCTGCTCGGACGGATCGATCTCCTCTCGTTAGGACGTGTTCGTGTCACGGCGGAACAAAAGGTGTAACGGAGAAAACGGAGCGACGAGGAGGCGAGGGAGGAGGAGAGGAGGAGAGCAGGAGCGCGAGGTGATGTTGCTGGAGTCGCGAGGTGGTCTCGCCGGTAGGAAGAGAAACGGATTGACGGTGTCTTCGTTCGGTGGCGGAGGTGGCGGCGGTGGCGGCGGCGGCGGAGGCGGAGGCGGAGGTGCCGGCTGCGGCGGCAGCGAGGAGGACGACGAGGAATCTCGACATCTTTTTCTTGGAAGAAAAATGCAGACCGAGGGATCCGCCGCCTCCACCGCGGTCTCCACCGGTTTGTCACCGGGGTGTACGCGCGACGACGGCGACGATAGTTCCACCCCTTCGCCCAACGCCAGCCTTCTCAACAATCTGAACAACAATTGCAACTCGAATCGACAATGCGCCACCGACTTTAGCATCGCGGCCATCATGGCGCGCGACTCGAGGCAACAGCAACACCAACAACCCCAACAACTCTCGCCCCATCACTCGCAAACCTCGCCTTCTCAGCAGCAGCAGCAGCAGCATCAGCAACAACAACAGCAACAGCAGCAGCAGCAACAGCAACAACAATCTCATCATCATCGTCAGTTACAGCAACAGGCCGTCGGCGGTGGAAAATTGCATCAACACGGTGAGATCTTTTCTTCCATCTTCGTTTTTTTTCTCGTTCTCTCTCTCTCTCTCTCTCTCTCTCTCTCTCTCTCTCTCTCTCTCTCTCTCTCTCTCTCTCTCGTGGTCGTAGTCGACCGAACGTTATCAGTCGAAACGGGACAAAAAGAGAAGACACGTAAAAAAAAAAGAAAAAGAGATAAAATAAGAAGGGGTGGAAAGATAAGAGAAAGGAGAAGGATCGATGGGATGGCGCGGTTAATGAATTATTTAGCGGCGAACGAATGGGCGCGTAGGGGCGCGAGAAGAAATTGGCGACCAGGTGAGGTGTCTGATCGGAATTCTGGAAACGAGCGTGGCTGCTTTCCGAGCTCAGCCAGACGTCCGAACCGTACGCTGGACGGTGTTTGGTTTCATCATCGCGTATCTTGGACGCCCGCGGCGAATAATCGCCCACGAAGATTCTACACGGGCGAAATTTACGATTGGCCACGGTGCAATTCACCCACGGAAACGGACCATCGTTCCCAAATAAACTCGGGTAAACGGCTGCCGATGAATCGGCCAATCTCTCGTCTCTACGTGTGTACACGTGTGTTGGACACGCGCGACTTGCTCTTCTTCCACCTCCTCCTCTTTCTCCAGTCACCTAGTTTACCGCTTTGCCAGTAAACAAATCGTTCGATATAAATCCCGATCTCGTTAATCTCGAGCGAATCTCCCTTACCGAGATCAAAGCTCGAGATTTAGAAGCGTCGACGTGGACGTTTTCCTTCCCTTTCCTTTCCTTTCCTTTCCTTTTCTTTTCTTTTCTTTTCTTTTCTTTTCTTTTTTTTTTCTTTTCTTTTCCCTCTCGAATTCTTTCGCGAAAACGAACGAGATCTTTAACCGAGATAAAACGATAACGAATTACGATTTTCCACTCGGATCGGATCGTTGGATAACCGGATATCGAGGTTATTTTTCGCGTATAAATAAACGCGATAGTGAGTGGTAAGGGGTTTCGCGAACGTCGGCCGGCCATCGAAACGAAGAGACGACACGGTCGGTCGGTAACGGGGCGACACGGTTCGTTCAGCCGTGTAATATCACATCGCGCGTCGTTGCTCGAGTAAAACTTTTCGATCGTCGTTGCCGACAAACAACGATGTTTCGAGGGAAAAGCGGAATTAGCGAAGGAGATGCGAAAAAACAAAGAAAAAGGAAAAGGTGAACGGCGATTTTCGTCTCGGTCAACGACATCGCGTTGTCTCGCGACCGTGCGCGCGCGTCAACGACCACGCTCGAAATACCTGCCGCTCGAGAAGACGCGAGAAAAAAAAGACGAAGTCCGGTCGATCGGTAATTTGATAAATTTTCGTCTCTTTCGTTCGAAACGGAATGGAAAAGTCTCTTTCCTTCCTCGCTCCTCGATTACCCGTCGGATCGCATATATCGGATCGATTTACGTTTTGCCAATCGACAAAATAATCTTCTAATTGTCCGTCGACGGATCGATCGATCGATCGATCGATCGGTCTGTCTCTCTTTTCCTGCGATCGTACAGATAAATAAATGCCAAGATACGTTCTATTGATTTTTCTAGATCGAATTTCTAGATTCTATCTTATCGACCGATAAAAATACGAATATGATACGATATGAGAGGAAGGGAAAGCGGTATTCAAAGGGGAAAGATTAAGTAGAATCTTGCGTTTCTCCGCGATCCGTCCTCTTTGATCCGCGCACGGAATCGTAACTCGTTTGACGAGGCCGCTCGTAAACGTCCGCGTATACAGAAGCAACGAATCGTTTCCACGCCGCGACTCGTCATCCGTTTCGTCGCTCGTTTAACACCGCCGTTCGCCGTGTCGAATAAAAATAAGCGGATGACGGATCGCGACCATCCCTCCAACCTTCCCTCCAACCACGGCCAATTAGCCGCGCCACGAAAATTAGCCTCCCTCCTTTAAACGGTATAATACCAAACGGTCGCTACCTTTTCGTAGGATCCGTCGGGAAACAAACGTTGTTGGCCAAATTAATCGATGGCGAAAGTGAAAAAGAGATCGAATACGAAGAGAGAGAGATAGAGACAGAGGAGGAAAGGAATGGAAAATCGATGCGAGGCCAAGCGAGAATATTCCGCCGTTTTACCTTGGCCGGGAAGATTGTAATTTCACGAACCGCTGCCGCCACTTCGCTCGGCATCGGGATCGGTGGATAATAACGTTAAACTAAAGCAACCTCCGTCGTAAGTGGATAATTATCCTTTAGCACCAGCTACCTACTACGGCGTCGTTATTATCTCGACCGTAGGAAGACGCGGCCGGCTTCGTTTTAACGAATAACACCGCGAGAGGAGAGGAGAGGAGAAGAAAGAAAAAGAGGGAGAATTAACGTCGCGCGCGCGATATCGGTCAAATATCATTATATCGAAGATTTCATTTTTCTTCGAGGAAAATGATTGTTTCTTTTTTCTTTTTTTCTAAAAAAGCATCGCGCGTGTTTCAGAAAGGGAACCGAGCGTTTCTGGCGTGGTTCGGGGTGGCGGTGGCGGTGCAGCTCCTCCCACGCCGATCCAGGAGGCTATCCTGGCGGAAGACGATCCGGAAACGGACGACGCCGGAAGTAGCAGCGGCAAAGTAGCTTCCCCCGTCAATCCTCTCCTCCAGGAACGGTCCAACTGCGAAGAGCTCAGACACGTGGCGTGTCATCTCGAGACGAAAGACTTGTGGGACAAATTTAACGAGTTGGGCACCGAGATGATCATCACGAAAACTGGCAGGTAAGAGTGGATTTCACCCTAATCAAATTCGCATCCTTTTCACCCTTCTTTTTTTTTTGTATACGATTACATACATAATTTTTCTCCTCGTATTGGGAAAAACTAGAGCGGGAGGGAGGGAGAAAGGAAGGAAGGAAGGAAGGAATCCGAGTTTCTAGCTTCTCTCGTCCGCGAGGCGAGTTCGATTCATTAACAAAGGACGGGTTGATAAATAAAAGCATTACTCACGCTCGTGGCGCTGGCCGGGATGAATGCATACCGGAGTCGACAAGGACTCCGTAGGAGAAGACCGTAGATAAGATCGGCGGGTGTCCCCGCGTTTTAGTGGTCGAGCAGCGGGGGGCCCGACACGGTATTAATGTTTGGCCTCCGAGGCAAAACATTCACGCCAGCCTTCGTCCTCTCTCTCTCTCTCTTTTTCTCGCTTTCGCCTCGGTGTCACGACACCATCGCGGTTATACTTTTATATATATATATGTATATATATATATATCTATATGTGTATCTTCTTTTTTTCTCTCTCTCTTTCTCTCTCTCTTTCTCTGTCTCGGCAGAAGGATGTTCCCGACCTGCAGAGTGTCGTTCAACGGATTGAAGCCGGACAGTCGATACGCGGTGTTGATGGACATCGTCCCCGTGGATAACAAGAGGTATCGATACGCGTATCACCGAAGCTCCTGGCTGGTAGCGGGTAAGGCCGATCCACCGGCACCGGCCCGCCTCTACGTTCATCCCGATTCCCCGTTCACGGGGGAACAGCTTCGAAAACAGGTGGTCTCGTTCGAGAAGGTCAAGTTGACCAACAACGACATGGACAGGCACGGGCACGTGAGTATCTGATGGTAGTAGTGGTGGTGGTAGTAGTAGTAGTAGTAGTAGTAGTAGTAGTTGGACCGATAACGTTAATCCGCGCATCGAGCGCGATCACGCGTATGCGTGTGTGTGTGTGTGTGTCAAATGTTCCGTTCGCAGTTGGTGTTGAACTCGATGCACAAGTATCAACCGAGGATCCACCTGGTGAAACGACCGGACTCGGGCACGGCCAAACCTATAACGGACCTCGAGAAGGAACCTCACAAGACCTTCATATTCCCAGAGGCGATATTCACCGCTGTCACCGCCTATCAGAATCAACTCGTAAGCGTCTCTTCTCCTTTTTTCTTCATTCTTTTCTTTCGTTATTCCCCCGATAATTTCCAATGCGCAACGTTCCTCCGACTTTGGATTCCTTCTTCATCTCCTCCTCCTCCTCCTCCTCCTCCTCCTCCTCCTCCTCCTCGGTGGAGGAGCGCACGCGCGCGCAATCGTATTTTACGATAGTCGTTTAGCAGCGACCGCCCGGTGTGTGGTCTCGGTACTCGCGCGGTCGTTCGCATTCCACGGGCGTCGCGATGCCCCGACATTTTCCACTTTGGTGTCTCCGTTTCGAAAAAGGCAAAAAAGGAAGGGAGAAAGAGAGAGAGAGAGAGAGANTCGAAAAAGGCAAAAAAGGAAGAGAGAGAGAGAGAGAGAGAGAGAGAGAGAGAGAGAATCGTTTCAACGATGATGAGGTGCGAAGAGATGGTCCGTGGCAATTATCTCTTTGTCCTCTCGTCGCGATAGAAAATAATAATACGAGGCGACGACGATGGTGGTGGTGACGGTAGTGGTGGTGGTGGTCGATCGTCGAATCGAGAGGTGAAATTCATTCGTCCCGGTTGGCGATCGGTCGGTAGCGGTTCGTCGTTGTCGCGTTGTCCTCTCTTTCTCTCTCTCTCTCTCTCTCTCTCTCTCTCTCTGTCTTTCGTCTTATTCTTCGCTCGCGTCTCTCAGCGGTGGGGTAGCAGCAGGCTCGTTTAGCAGGGACCAAAGTTTTTTTCCCCCTACCAAGCCACTTCCCGTGTACGGAACGGGACGAAGACGACGACGACGACGTATCATCGTTGCGGACGGTTTTTGTCCTCTCGCCGGCTCCCTCTCCTCCCTTCGCCTCGTACCATCGTAACGACCTCCTAACACCGTCTCGATTCCTCTTTCTCGCTCGCACGCGTCATAATTCATAACCTAACTGCCGTTCTTCTTCCCTCTGGCCACTCTCTGCCCCTTCTCTCTCTCTCTCTCTCTCTCGTGCGTGTATATATACATATATTTATATATATATATATATATATATATATATATCTCTTTCGAGCCTTTCCCCGATTTCACGGCCAATAGAATTATCGGCCGTGCGAGATAACGATCTGACGCGAGAAAGAGAGCGACTAATTTCGATCTCGCGGCATCTCGTTCGAGAACGAAACGAAACGAAACGGAAGAGAAGGAGAGAGACGATTGGAAGTGTGCCAAGAGGCGCGCGATTTTCGGGACGGATGATCGAAAACTTTGACGACGTGTCTTTCTCGAACAATCCCCCGTCTTTGCGCTTCCCGCTAATTATTCGATCCTCGTGGACATCCACGCGGAGGGAAAAAGGAAAGCGAAGCGGGTGCAAAAGCAGAAGCGCGTGGAAGCAGCGGAAGGAGGAGGAAGAAGAAGGTGAAGAAGAAGAAGAAGAAGAAGAAGAAGCAGTGGATGGTTTTAGTGGCTGCAGGCGTCGGCGTCGGCATGCACGAACGAAAGAAAACATAAATAATCGCGTTCGAATGAGACGAGAGGAGGCGAGACAGAGAGCGAAGAAGGAGGAGGAGGAGGGACGAGCTCTCTCTCTCTCTCTCTCTCTCTTTCTCTCTCTGGAAACCACACACGGCGGCCGTACCGCGTTGGCGGCTGGTCGCCAGGCATAATAACGCACTCGCGCCCGATGCTCCTCGTACGGGCGACGTTTCGTTTCGTTTCGTTTCGTTCCGTTTCGCGACCACGACCGCGCAAAGGGGGCTCGTCCCGTGACAGCTTGGAACCGAGGCCTAAATAGCGAGAAAGAGAGAGAGAACCACCCCTTCTTCGATGAGAGCGCTACCGTCTCTATTAAATCTATTATTAGTAGGAGCGGGGCCGGGTATATATCCCTCTTTCGATTACCTTACGGCTTCATTTTCATTTCGGAAGGGCACCGAGCGACGGAGGGAGAGAGGGAGGACGATAATCGCGCGCGTCGCGAATTCTCTCGAGATCTCGGCTCGCAATTTTCATCGCCGCTCTACAGCTGGACGTAATTGGCTCGGCTCCTCGTTCCTCGAAACGACGCGACTTCGTCCCCGCGTATCGACGCGTATCCGATTCGCCAAGGCCGTCGACCTTGCCCCGCTGAAAAAATCCCCGTTATTTTTTTTCCCCCCTTTCCCTCCCTCACCCGTCCACCGTGAAAATCGTCTCCGATTCGATTCCGTTCCACGTACGTGGGGGATAGGACAGGACAGGAAAATCTTGGCGAGATAAGTTTAGCCATCGTTCGACTCGTCGACTCGCGAATTAATAATCGAGGCGACGTGGGACGCGTGGCGAGAAGCATCAAAGAGGAAAAGTGTGGGGAGGGGGGAGCGGGAGGGGTCGATTTCAAAGGAGAGAGAGACAGAGAAGTCGCGATCGTAAAACGAATAGGGCCGGCGAGGGAAGCGGAACGAGCGAGCGAGCAAGTAAGTAAGTAAGTAGCTAGACGACGAGAAGGACGACGGTGACGGCGGCGGAGGTGGGCCAGATGTTTGGCTAATGATGTCAGCGGAATCGTAACTAAAACCGAGCCAGCTCCGGGCTTAGCGCGGCTTAGCCTCGGCTTTGAACGAAAGAGTCTTATTACCAGGCTGCACGTGCTGCTCCTGAGCGCGAAACCGTAGGGTAATTGGACCACCCACTCGACATCCACTCTCTCTCTCTCTCTCTCTCTCTCTCTCTCTCTCTCTCTCTCTCTCTCTCTCTCTCTCTCTCTCTTCTCCCTTCTTCTTCTTCTTCCTCCTCCCTCCTTCCATCCGGCGGCGTTTTTCCCGCGTTCTTCCGTTTACTTCCCCAAAAAGGGAAGGATCTCGTCGTCGTTGTCGTTGTCGTCGTCGGTGGCTGCCGATTCGACGGGTCGGAGAGTTTGACCGAAGCCACCTGTGCGCGCGCGATGGGTCGCGCTGCCGCCAAGAGATTCACTCGCACTCCCCGCGAATACACCGCGTTTTTCCAACCTTCTTCTCTAATTTTACGAGCCGTTGACTCGGTCGATCGATGGAACGAGCCGAGCCGCGCCGCGCCGCGTTTCCCGATACGCGTCGTTGCCCCTCGGTGACGTAACCCCCTTCCTCCCCTGTCCCCCTTCCAACTCCCCCTCGATCTCGCCTCGCATAGTCCACTCTCTTCCGCCATCTCTTTCTCTCTCTCTCTCTGCTTCCGCCGTTTCAGATCACCAAGCTGAAGATCGACAGCAACCCGTTCGCCAAAGGGTTCCGTGACTCGTCCCGGCTCACCGATTTCGAGAGGTAAATTAAAAGGGGGAAGTGGGTGGGGGAAGGGAAGGGACGATAAACACGCGCGCGCGCGTAATCGAGCAGCTTCCCTTTCAGGGAGACGATGGAGTCGATGCTCGCGGAGCAGCAATCGCTCAGGTTCCCCCATCGGCTCCCGTTCGAGATGGATCAACTTCAAGCGACGGCGGTGAGCAATCTGAGCCTGGAGGAGAAGGCGCTCTGGGCGGCGCGCTCTCAGATGCTGTTACGGGCGGCGGCCGCGGTCGCTGTCAGCCCTTACGCCCAATTGGTCGGCCCCGCGGCCCTCGTCTATCCCGGCGCCTCGTCCGCCGGAACCAGCCACCAACAGCAACATCACCAGCAACACCAGCAACACCAGCAACACCAACAGCAACAGCAGCAGCAACAATTGGGCCACTTGTGGTGGGCCTCGTCGATCGGGCCCACCCTCTTCGCCGCGGCGCATCATCACCATCAGCAGCAACAGCAGCAACAACAACAGCAACAGCAACAACAATTGGCCGCGGGATCGAGCGCGGGGCCAGCCGCTCCCCGCCCCCTCTACCCCTCCGCCTTGGCCCTGGCCCATCATCGATTCTCCCCGTACCACGCGGCCAAGTCGTCCGCCACCTCGTTGGGCCCCTCGCTGTCCCCCTCGCCCTCCTCGCGGAGGGCCACCCCCTCGCCGACCGACAGCCTCGGAAGAGACGTTCGAGATCTGTCGCCCTCGTAGTGTCCATCCCGTCGTCCGTCGCTCTCCCTCTTTTTCTTCTCCTTCTTTCGAAGGAGGAGGAGGAGAGTCGCGTACACGGTACACGCTCGTCGGTGTTGAATCTCACCTCTGGAGAGGTGTACGCGACTACGTGCGTTTTTCGCGTCACGATCGATCGTATGACGACCTTTACTGTATATAACTATATATATATATATATATACACATATACATATATATATATATATGTGTGTCTATATACATATGCATATACGTATACATCACGCGCGTTATACACCTACGAAATCGACGAGATCTTATAGGTATATAACTAATCGACTTTGTTCCGTTTGTGTAACATAAGTTGTATATTTCGTATCACGACTTATCGTTATCGTTATCGTTATTTATGTTTCCATTCTCCGTACTTCTCCCCCCCCCCTTGTACCACTCTCGCGGCGGAGAGGAAAAAGGCGCGTTCGAAAAGAAAACCAAAAAAAAAAAAAGGAAAAAAAAGGCGTCTTTTCTCTCTCTCTCTCTCCGCCCGAGGCCGCCCGCCCCCCTCTTCGCGATAGCTCGATCGCGACCACGATTTCTCGAAATCGTCGGCGATTAGCGTTTAGCGTTTAGATATCGTCGATATCGTTGATGCTTGTGTTGCGAAGACGCATAAAAAAAAATATCTGTGCCGTGCAAGCTGCTCCCTTGTAAATAAACCCTGAATAAAAAAAACTCTTGTACCGAGGCTTCTATCGTATTCTTCTCTCCTTTCCTATTTACCCCTCTCCACCAACTTTGCTCAAGCAACTTTGTATATATATGTGTGTGTGTATACACACGTATATAGGAATTCGGTCAACTGAAGGGCATATTTACTCGAATACGCGAAATGTTGACACGAAGGAGATCTTTCGAGAAGCTAGTTCTCTTCTCCTTTTCCTTCTCCTTCTTTTTCTTCTTCTCGATGGAACGCCCATTTCCTGGCCTGTTTCGGAAACGCTCGCGCTTCTCGAAGAGAGAAAGAGAAAGAGAGAAAGGAGAGAGAAGGAAAGGCGGCCTCGCCTAATTTGCTCGGTAATGTCCCGCCGGGAATTAACGAGCAGGGCTAGAAGAGGAGAGGGGAGAGCCGGTAGCACCCAGTCGACATTAATTATGCCCGCTGCCACAGGTGCCAACAACTCGATTATCAGATCTCGATCGGATCCCGATCGCTCGTTTAGATTACGCCCGCTCGCCCGCGCGCCCTCCTCCCCTCCTCCTCCGCGTCTTTTCTACGCCTTCCCCCTCTCCCTCCCCCTCAACCGCCTCGGGCCGCTTCGCAGGAAAACGGTGAGGACGACTAACCACGACGGCGATCGTTAGATTTCGGTTTGCCGCGGTAAAAATTGGCGGTGGTGGGGGTGAAAAAAGGGCTTGCCGCGAAATAAAATGGCGGTGGCGAGGATGGCACCGGTATCGATTGGACGTGGAAACCACGGTAGGTGCGAACCACGGGGCATCGTTTCGCGTGGGTGGCTCCACCGCCGCCGCCGCCACGCTCACCCCTTCGCGCCTCCGCTCGCCCGACCGCCCATTAATTGATTCGATTAATTCGCCGATGCGATTTGCCAACGACCGTGCCGGGCCTCGTTTCCCCCTCCCTTTCCCCCGATCCCGAACTCGATCTCCTCTTTTCCGGCAGCGGCCCGATTTTTCCTTTCGCCTCGCCTCGCTTCGCCTCGCCACTCCAAGATTAGCGGGCGAGAGCAGTCGCGCGGTAGGTCGCCGCGCGAGGAGCGAGAATAGAGCCGCCTCTGTCCGAGGCCTCGCGAAGGAAAGAGAGAGAGGCAGAGAGGGGGAGAGGGATCAGCGCCGGCTCGGATTTCGCCCTTCGAGGACTCGGTTTTCTTTTGTCCCGTGACTCTCTCTCTCTCTCTCTCTCTCTCTCTCTCGGTCGGGTGGCACGCAGCTCCACGATCTCTCTCTCTCTCTCTCTCTCCACTAGAGAGAGAGAGAAGAAGGTTAAGAGCTCGAATGTCGCTTAAGTCCGATCTAACGAGAGGAGAGACTTCTTTTTCGTCTTCCTCCTGTTCCTCGGGAGAGGAGACGTTTTTCCTTCTCCTTTTTTTTTTTTTCTCTTCTCTTTCGAGAAAAGAAGAAGAAGAAGATGATTCCCGCGATGATGGATCGATGGATGGATGGATCGATCGATCGATATAATAGCGGTGGCCGAGGTTGTCCAAATATTTGGAATCGGAACGGGATGCGGCGACACATAAGCGAGGAAAATGGACGGGACGAGTCCGTGACGAAACGCTCGACTGCAGGTGGCCTACAGATGCCAGGGGATTATGGGGTTTATCCCCCAGCGGGATATCGATCCCATTGTAGCCTGGGAGTCGAGCGGAACGGAGAGGAGCGGAAAGTCGGCCGATCTCGCCTCCTTCAACTCTCGCTTTTTCCACGACGACGGATAAGGGGGGAGGGGCGAAAAATGAAAATTCCCCTCCCCCTACCAATTCGCGGCAAGCCAGTCAGTCGGCTGGCAAATGAAGTCGAACGTAACTTTATTAGCGGCTCGGCGTGGAGGGGGGAGGAGAAACGTAAACGGCGTTTCTTTTGGGAAATAAGCTGTCACGTATCGTTGGGTAAACGCGACGAGGGGGAACAACCGCGTCACGACTCGCGAGGGGGAATAACGGATCAGACCTTTGCTTTATTCCCTCTCGAATCTCTCCCCCTCGTCCTATCGTTATCCCTCTCTCCCTCTCTCTCTCTCTCTCCCCCTCTCTCCGCGCGATGTCGCGGAAAGAGCAACACGAGAATTCGAGAATTTCCGCCGGTCACGGTCGGAGAGGCGCAACGAACCGTACGAGGAAGCTCTCGGGCAATTGTCTTGTCGCGAGGAGGGACGAGCGCCTCGAGGTGTTCGAGGAGTTGGCTCGGCACGCAACTAACAGGAACCCGATAATTCACGGGCCCGCGACGCCCCGGCGGAGGAGCGGCCCGCGCGGGGCCGGCAAGCGAAACGTCAACGTTTTCCTCTCCCTGTGAATTTTCACTCTACCCTGCGTTTACCTTCGATCCACGAGCTTCGATCCGAGGAGACGAGACGTCCGGTCGATCCTTCGCCTCCTTTCCTTTCTCCCTCTTTTTCCTTCTTTCCGCCAGAGAGAGAGAGAGAGAGAGAGAGTTGAAGTAAATTGGCGCGATCGACACGCCGGTTTCGTGCGTCTCTTTCCACGTCCATCCGATGTAAATAGCGAGCGAGGGCCCCTTTGTCTCGAGCATCACGCGATCGCCGAGTCGAGTCGATTCGATCCCGTTCCCGATCGCGTGGGAGAGATTCCTTCTCCTCTCTCTCTCTCTCTCTCTCTCTCGATCGAGGAGGATTAAGAGAGAGAGAAAAAAGAAAGAAAGGAAGAAATCGACTTTTTGCCGTCCCGATTTCCCGAATTTCGCGTGGAAAAGAAGAGAGAGAGAGAGAGAGAGAGAGGCGGTGAAGAGTATCGGAGGTCGAGATCGCAGAGGGCAACCTTCCCCGGTACTTGCGCCACCACTACCAACTCCTCCTTACGTCGTCGTCGTAAATAACGTTCGTTTCGATGTTAATCTCCCGGTCTCGATCGAATCTAACGAGCGAGTAGCGGAGAGGCGAGGAGGAGAGCGAGAGCAGCGATGAGAAAACTCGAATCGACGTGACGAACGCGAGTGGAGGAAGGTAGGAAGGAAGAAAGGAAGGAAGGAAGGAAGGAAGGAGGGTTGACGCCGCTCGAAAGGGGGCGAAGGAGAGAGAGAGAGAGAGAGAGAGAGAGAGAGAGAGAGAGGAGAAGAAGGGAATAACGCTCTCTCGGCATTGTTCGCGGCCGCTCGCTCGTGACTCGTGACTCTCGCGACCCGGATGACCCCTAGCCTCGATTACCTCGGACATATCCGCCCGCCTACCTCTCTCTCTCTCCCCCCTTCCTTCCTTCTCTCCTTCTCCCCTTGCCTCGTTCGTTTCTCCGCTCGTTCCTTCGTTCGCGACATCGTCCACTATCCACGAGGAGAGGAGAGAGGAGAGGAGAGGAGAGGAGAGCTAGGCGAAAGAGGGAGGAAAATTGGAACGAGGAGTACACGAGCTCACGAATCCCGCGATCGAATCACGGCAGCTGGGTAAAACGCTGGCCAAAAGGTGCCGCGGGCAATTTAAAAGCCGCGCGAATTACAGGGTCCGGCGCGGGGCATTATATTCGCAAAAAACAAAAAAAGGGAGAAAAAGAAACGAAGAAGAAGGAGAGGAGGAAGAGAAAGAGGCGAGAAAGATCGGTCGTATATCGGTAATTGCGGATTTTGATCGCGCGCGACATCCATCCCGGAACGGAGGAGAAACGAAGGAGGGAGGGAGGAAAGAAGAGGAGAAGAAATTTCGGCGTCGCGTGGCGCGGGACGCGGTGTTTCCATAGCGACGGGGCGAGAGAGCTCCCCGTGCGCTCGGAGGATAGGCGAAGGCGAAGGGTGGCCGAGGGATAAAAGCGGGCGCACGAGAGATAAATGTAACGTAACGTAATTCGATGTAACGAGGGAGGAGGATCTCTCGGCAAGTGGCGTTCCATTGTTGCGCCCCGTCCAACAATTTGTCGCCGCCGCGTGCCCTTTTACGCGCGCGTTGTTTGCGCGACCCTGTGGGCGTGTACGTGTCATCGGAAAGGGAGCTCTTCTCTTTCCTTCTTTTCGCCTCTTGCTTTTTTTCCTCGCGCCTGTTCTATCCAACCATCTCTTCCCGTCGATCGAAACCGCAGCGTGGACAGTTTACTGGGAGGGGGGAGAGACGCGGCTCAGTCTTCAACGCGAGATGTTTACCGCGCGACGAAATCCAACCGAATAGCTGCAGAAAGATTTGAGAAATATATATGTACATATATATATATATATATATATATATATACTTAGCCGTCGTAGATTAAAAAATCGGGTATCGTGGCGCGCGGTGGTAGAGGTTAATTAAATACGAGTTGTTATACGAAGAAAGAGAGAGAGAGAGAGAGGGAAAAAACGTTAGG